GGTCCTACTCACACATGAAGACACACGTGCTTAACACAGATCACGTGTGCACGGCACTAATGACAATATATGCATGCATAGACACAAACCACACGTGTGGCTTTAATGACACACACATACGTCAACCCATGCATAGACCCACCCACGTGTGTACGCTTGCTCACATGCATTCATACACACATGTATGCTGACATGGTCTACAGATGCACACAAATCACATGCGTGCTTGGCTTTAGTGGTACACATAGATGGATATGTCCCACACATACACACTCATGTCATACATGATTTCCTACGTACGAGCGAGCACACATGAACCACATGCACGTGCATCTCATATACACAGGCGTTTACACACATGCAGTCAAGGATAGCACCCACGTATGACACTGGTACACTCACACGCATTCCTACACGGCTGAACCACATGCATGTGTACCCTTCATACATACAAACCACACGGCACCTGGTTAATACAGCCACGCCCAGACCTACACACGCTCTCACACACGTGCTCCTGCTCAGGAACAGACGCCGGGGGAAGGGGCAGCATCTCCCCCGCGCTCGTCCAGGCGATGCTCCGGCAGAAGCAACTGCCGCGGGGGTCCCTCGTGCCTCCAGAGTGGGCTGGAGAGCCCCCGGGGGCCGCCCGCTCACTGGGAGACGGGCCAGTGTGTCAGTGGCCCCGACCTGCCGGCCTGACGGGGGGTGTCTGGGCTGCAGCTTCCCCCCAGGCAGCCCGGAGCCTTCCCCCACACGCCGGCCCAGAACCTTCCCTCCTGGCCTCAGCCCAGACCTGCCCCTGCAGGGGCGGGCTGACAACTCCACCCCACGCACGGACCAGGGCACTCTGAGACTCGGGACAGACAAGCACTGGACGGCGCGGCCACCCCGTGGGGACTCCCTGGCCTCCAGAGCGAGGCCCGCTGCCCGGACCATGGCCACAGTCTGAGCAGTGGCGGGTCACGGAGCAACGGGACTCGAGCCTCGGTGCTCGAGCCTCGGTGCCTCTGGGGCTCAGTGAATCTTCGGTGAAAAGTTAACGTGAGACGGAGTCACGGGAAGGCGGGAGGAGAGCGCAAGGGACGTGCCTGTGTGGGCCCTGGCCACGAGCACTCGCCCCAGAGCACCCGAGAAGAGCAATCACAGCCCTGCTCCCCAACCCGCACCCCTCCTCCCTGACCTGCACCCCTGCATCCATGGTCCCTGGCCCGCACCCCTGCTCCCCAATCCACACCCCTGCTCCCAACCTTCACCTCTGCACCCCAAGCAGCACCCCTGCACCCCAACTCACAGCAGCCACCCCGCTCTTCCGTGCACGAGTGCCTTGGGCGTACGTGTGGGGTGTAAATCATCACGCAGTGCACGAGGCTGTGAGGAAGCTCAGGAACCCTGCGGCTTCCTGCCTGCTCTCGGCCGCTCAGAAGGCCCCGGGGTGCGTCACGTGAGAGACAAGCCCTGAGCCAGCCACAGGCCGTGAGCACCGCGCGCGTCTCTCCTGTCCGCTGAAGCACTGGGCAGGCCTGGAAGCCACGATCTTCCTATGTCCTGGGTTTGGCCCTCCGTGACCCTGCGTGAGACGCGCCGTCCCGTAGTCCTGGCAGCTGAGGGCCAGGTGAAGCCGCTTCTGATACGAGTTCTTTACCTTGCCAGCTCCAGACAAGGAAAAGGCCACATCGAGGTGCCCCGTTATTCCCGACAGACAAGACACTGAGCTGCCTTCAGGAACTCCTGCCGCTGGGCTCAGACACCTGCGTCGCCGGCGGGGCCAAGCTCCGAGCCCCTTCCGACGCCCCGTCCAGCAGCTGCGTGGCTTCCCATCACCCGGGCACGGGCAGCACAGACCCAGTGTTGGAGACACGCGTCCTCCCGGGTCTCTCTGCTCTGGTCACACGCTTGCCCAGCTCGGGAGAAACTCACGCGAGACCAGGTGCGGACGGAGGAAGCCAACGGGAGGGAAGGGACTCGCCTCCCGCACATTTACAGGGCACGGAAACCTCGCAACAGCCGCACTCCAGCCCTGGGCGGGAGGACTCGAGCGTCCACGTTAGGGCAACGAGCCTGGGCGGGGGGAGCAGCGCCTGCCCTGCCCCGAGAGGTGAGGCCGCAGCCTGGTCCCTGGCACTGTCCTGCACGCCCGGAGGGCCCACAGTCTGTGGCGCCCGGTCAAGGGTCTGATGTCCGGGAGAGAGGGACGGAGGGAGGGAGATGGAGAAAGGGAGGGGGTGGGACAGAGGGGGGAGAGAGGCAGGAGGGAGGGGGGTGGGGAGCGAGGGAGGGGCGGGGAGAGCAGAGAGCAACGGAGGAAGGAGAGGGAGAGAGAGGGGGAGGGAGGGACAGAGAGGCACAGGGAGGGAAGGGGAAGGCTGGAGAGAGGGATGGACAAAGGGAGGTGGTAGGGGCAGAGAGGGAGAGGCTGAGGAAGAGGGAGGGAGGGGGAGAGATGGGGAGGAGGGGGGAGGGAGGGAGGAGGGAGGCTGATGGGGGCTGATGCAGGAGACACACGCGGCTTCTGGGTGGAGGCGGCGGATTCTCCCACGGCCCCGGGCACGGGCGGCCTCCAGCTCCTGCCCAAGGTCTGCGCGTGGGTGTCAAGGCCGCTGTATCCCAGGCCCGAGACCCCCAGCGCAGGCCCATCCCAGGGGCGTAGACTCCGACTGCCCTTCAAGGTCGGGGGCAGCGTGCACCCCAGCCTCCCAGGGCCCAGAAGCCCCTATCGTGGGCTGCAGCAGGACAGAGGGGCGAGGCAGAGGAGACCAGGACCACTGAACGACCGTACACACAGCAGGCCGGGGCCCCACAGACACCCCATGGCAGCTGGCGGGGTCCCTGGACCTCATCCCTAGAGACGCATGAGCATCACCCAGGCTCCGCTGGTGTCTGTCGCCCGTGGACAACTGTCGGCCTGAACCATGTCCCCCAAAGCCATCCCCACAGCACCACAGCCTACAGGGCTCCAGGCCCTCTCACTCCTCCAGGGGGGCACCCCCACCATGCTGCCCCCTTCCGGAACGATCCGCCCAGCAGCAAACGGAGCCTTCTCTGGGACACCTGCCGCAGGAGCAGCCCGTCACAGCACGGGGCTCGGGGCAGCTCGACGGGGTCCCAACAGTGACAAAGTGGCAGGAAGGGGTCTGACCTCCACTCTCAGTGCCGCACCCTGACTCACAGGGCCTGACCCCCCACCCGCAGCCCAGGGCAGGCCCTGTGCCCCGAGATCTAGGGGGGCTGCACCCCCCGGGGGAGGTGCCAACCGTGACCCCCGCCCACGGCCCTAAACACAGCTCATGCCGTCCGCTCTGGTTCCGGGGCGCAAGCCAGGCCGGGGCCCCATGAGCCCCTGTGGGCAACACGCCGGACGCTCCCACTCCCGACTTCTCTCAGCTCCGCCAGGTCAGCGCCCACGTCCAGGGACGCTGACTCAAAGCTCTCGGGGGCCGGCGACACACAGGTGAGTGATGTTGGCAGGATGGCGTCTCCTCAAGTAGGGGAGATTCCCAGGGGTGCTCGGGGGCCCTTCCGTGGAGACAGCACCCAGGCGGCGGTCCACGCAAGGCCCAAGGACGTGGCACCAGGCCACGCTGAGGGTGGAAGCAAACCCGGGAGGGCCCTGGCAAGGCCACCCGCAGCACCTCTGCCGGGAACGACCTGCACACCTGCTCCCCCCGCTCGAGACGGAGAGGCCGCGCTGCCCTTCCACCGGCCTGCCCTCGAGTCCTAAAGCATCGGCCCTGACGGTGGACACCCTCGGGACTGGACAACAACCGGAGTTACTGAGGACACGAGGGTGAGGGCCAAGCAGGACGGAGCATCTCCAGCTGGACGCTCCGAGTGACACGGCACCCGCACCGCCAAGGCCCCGCGCCACGGCGACTCGGCAGCAGCGGGTGACGCTGCCTCCACTGCGTCGACGCTGCCGTCAGACTCGACGAGAACGAGCGAGCTGCTCTCGAATCGGCCCAACAGTCCGATGTCTCAAAAAAAACAGAGAAAACGGTGCTAGAGCAAGGAGAGCCGACCACCTCATGAGGCAGAGCCGGCCCGGGTGCTGGTCCCCCAGCACGGGGACGGGGTGGGGACGGTCTCTCCCCCGAGGGACAGAAGCAGACGGTGCAGCCGTGCGCAAGGCCCAAGAGCTTCTCCGAACACGGAACCGCGTCCTCGGGCGAGACTGGGCGCGGACAGTCAGCGTCTCTGATGTGCTCTGCTGTGGCGTCCGGGCTGGGACGTGGCCATCCGGTCTGCGTCTTCCCCACAGCCTCTCGCCCGGCCGAGCGGTGCCCGGACAGGCCCCTCGCACGGCGCGGCAGGCCAGGGCAGAGGCAGCAGCGCCAGGTGCTAGCAAGGGTCCCTCTCACGCCAGCCCGCCGAGCCCAGGCACAGGGCCACATGCGTCCTGCACGTCCAGGGACGGACCCGCACTGCCGAGGGCAGGCGCCTCCTGCCACCACGGATCCAGCACAGGGCTGTGGCTCAACCACTCACAAGGACACGCAAAGGACACAGCGGCACGGAGCTCCCAGGAACGCGCGGGCCGCCACACGCATGGAATCCGCTCACTGCTCCCGGTGGAGCTGCCCGGCACCCTCCAGCCCTCAGACACCCTCAGCCAGTTCTCGGGGGCACTGGACACCGTGGGCGTGGCCACGGGAGGATCCAGGGGGGCAGGAGAGAGAACAGCCCGAAGCAGAAGCAAGGGCGGGAGATGCCGCGGCACTGACCCAGGGACGGGGAGGACCGAGGGGGGCAGCCCCCGACTCGGGACCAGGCTCCTGCGGGGGTGGGACTCTGCCCCCCCGTCCGGGACACCCAGGCCCACAGGGAGGCCACGTGTGCCCCGAGCAGGGACATGCCAGCACATCCGCACACACGCGGGTCGCGCCGGGCATGGTGGAGTCTGGCCCGTGGCTGACCGGGACGGCCTGCGTCCTGCTCGGCGGGAGAGCCCCGAGGTCCCCCGGGCTGGGCGGCACGGGAGGAGGGGCCGAGGGTGGACTCACCTGGGGCGGGGCCGGCCGCAGCCTCCTCTCCGCTCTCCTCCTCCTCGGCGGCGTCGTCGGCCAGGCCGGAGCCGGGGGAGCCGGGGCTGCTGGGCGGGGAGTCGCCCTCGCTGAGCGAGCCGCAGCGCCCGCGGGCGGCCGCGTGCTCCGGCTCCGGCTCCGGCTCCCCGGGGCGCGGCGGCAGGTGGCGGCGGGCGCGGCGGTGCACGCGGGAGTGCAGCACCATCTGGTGGTAGGTGCGGAAGATCTTGCCGCACTCGAAGCACTCGGAGGACTTGCCCTGGCCGGCGGGCGCGGCGGCGCGGCGGCTGGGGCGCGGGGCGGGCCGCGGCTCGGGGGCTCCAGGCGCGGGGTCTCCGGAGCGCTTCCGCGGGGGCCCCTGCGGGCCGGGCTCGGGCTCCCGCTCCCGCCGGCGCTTCTCCTGGCTCACCAGCACGAACTCCCGGCGCTCCCGGTCGAAGGCCACGTCCCCGGCCGGCGCCTCGTCCCACGCGCCGTACTTGAGGGCCTCGGCCGGCTCGGCCACCTTGCCGCGCGTGGCCAGCTGCCAGGCCTGGTAGCTGCTCACGGGGTCCAGCTCGGCCACCCGCTGCCCCGCGGGGCCCGGGGCGGGCGCGGCGCCCCCCGCCGGCCGCAAGTCCAAGCACTGCAGGAAGCGGCGCTGCGAGCCGGGCGTGGCGGGCGCGGCGGCCGGGGGCGCCCCGTCGGGGCCCTCCCGCGTCCGGCCGGCCTCCACGCGGCGGTGCACGGCGTTGTGGGCGCTGAGGCTGTCCAGGTCGGTGAAGAGGTTGCCGCACTTGGGGCAGACCTCGTAGAGCGACAGGCCGGCCACGATGGTCTCCTCCTGCACCACGTCGTTGATGGTGGCCACGGGCTCCAGCTCGCCGCGGGGCCGGTTCCTGCCGGCCGCCCGGGGCCCGTGCGCCTTCATGTGGTTCTTGAGGAACCAGGGCTCCTTGAAGCGGCGGCCGCAGATGTGGCAGCCGTGGTCGAAGGAGCCGCGGTGCTTCTTCATGTGCGCCTTGAGGAACCACGTCTGGCTGAAGGCCTGGCCGCACACCTCGCACGGGAACTCGCCGGCCGGCGGCTCGGCCTTGCCGGGCTCGGGCCCCTGCGCGCCGGCGGCGGCCGCGGCGGCGACGTGGTCCTTCTCCACGTGGCTCAGCAGGGCCTCCCGGCGCGGCGCCGCGTAGCCGCAGAGCCGGCAGCGGAAGGGCCGGTGGGCCTGGCGCACGTGCTGCTCCAGCTCCTTGCGGCGCGCGAAGCGGCTGCGGCAGAAGGCGCACTGGGCCGCGGCGCGCTCCTCCCCGGCCTCGCCCTCCCGCCGGCCGCCGCCGCGCAGCAGGACCCTGGCGCCGTTGAGCACGCGGTTGCAGGCCGACGTGCTCTTGGTGGGGCTGGCGCAGCCGCCCAGGCCCTCGGCCACGCGCGGCTCCCCCGCCTCGGGCTCCTGGGCCTGCGCCAGCGTGCCGCCCCGGTGCCCGCGGATGTGGATCTTGAGGTTGCCCTTCTGGGAGGCGCGGTGGTCGCAGTAGGGGCACTTGTAGGGCTTCTCGCCCGTGTGCTTGCGCATGTGCTGCGACAGCGAGCTCTGGAACGGGAAGCCCTTGCCGCAGATGCAGCAGCTGTGGCTGGCCGCCCGGTCCGCCTCCGGCTCCCCGTCCGCCGCCTCCGGGCCGCTGCGCTCCATGGCCGCCGGCACGCTCGGCTGCTCACGCGGGGGGCCGCCTACTGCGCCCCGGCCGGGGGGGCGCCCTCCGCTCCGCGGCCGCTCGGGGGCCCCACGTGGCTCGGCTCGCGCATGTCCTGGCCCCGGGCGCCGCGGCGAGCACCTGCAAGAGAGGGACACGCGGAGCTTAGGGCGGCGGCCTCTCCCGGGGGCCACGCGCCGGCTGTCCCCCCGCGGGGTGCCGCCCTCCCGGCATCCCCGCCGTCTCTCCACGGTCACTTCCTCCCCCCACCATCCCCCCAGGGCGGCCCACCCACGGCATCCGCCCGGCACCCCCGAGCGACGTCTCCCCCCAGACTCAAGAGCCCCCCAAGGCGGCCGCCTTCACCCAGCGCCAGCACCCTGGCAGGCCGGCCGCCTCCTCTGCCGGGGCCCTGCACCGCGGGTCGGGGTCCTCCACGCTCAAGGAGGCCGAGCCAGTCCAGGAAGCAGACGGGGCAGCAGCAGTCACGAGGCCCGACCCCCTCCCGGGCAGCACAGCCCGGTGGCTGGACCACCCTGAGCTCAGCCCCAGCCCAGGCAGAGAGGGGCCGTGGAGCCAGGGAGCCCCACAGAGCAGGAACCCCCAGCCACGAGCACTGCAGCCGGAGCAGGGACCCCACGGCACCAGATCTGACGGGACGGAGTGAGTCAGGGAAGGCCCAGGCATCGCGCTGGCGAGGCCATGCCCACCGCCCACCCGCCCCCACTCCAGACGGGGGCACTGGCCACTGAGCAGCCCATGCACACGCACACAAACCTACACACACGCACACACACACACCTACACAAGCATGCCTACACACACACCTATACACACACCCCTACAGACCCCTACACACACCTACACACACACCTACACACCTACATACACCTACACATGCACACTCCCACCTACACACGCACACTTACACCTATACACACACACCTACACACACCTACCCATGCACACACACCTACACTCTCACACACATCTATACACATGCACAAACACCTACTCACATACCCCTACATGCACCTTCACATGCACACACACACATGTGCACACACACCTACACACGCACATACACCTACACAAGCACACACACATTCCTACACAAACCTACACACCTACACATGCACACCCCACACCTACATGCAACACCTACACACACATGCACACACGCACACACCTATACCTACACATGCACACAGCTACACACCTACACACATATACACATGCATACACACACCCCTACACACACACACGCACACGCACACACACCAGCTCCAGCCAGCCCCTCCGTGGGCAGCTGCCCGTGGGAGGCTGCCCTGGTGCTGAGGGGACTGGGCTGGCCGGGGTCCCTTGGGGGGCGGGTCTGCTCCCACCCAGCGCACCTGTTCTCGGGGCAGCCGACTGGCTTGTGAGTGAGCGGGTCCCCCAAGGCCCTTCTCCGGAGCACTTGCCTGGAGTCAGCCGGCACACGGCGACAGGCGCGCTCTCTGGGGCGGGGGTCCCGGCAGGCAGGAGCAGCCCCAGCCAGCGCCCCCCACTCGGGCAGGGGCCGGTCAGTGGTCAGCCCACGGGGACCAGCCTCACGCCTGCGGAAGCTGTGCACTGCCCCCTGCTGGCGGGCCCAAGCAGTGCCAGCCCCCAGCCCCCGCCCAGGACACCCGCCCAGGGAGGGTGATGGGACAGGAAGGCCGGAGGTGCCTCTCCTGACCCGCACGCCAGCCCCTTCGCTGCTCTGCCCTGTCCCTGCCCCACGTGGGGGCTCAGGAAACGGCACGTGAGCCAGACCTACGAGCTGCGCCCTCCTGCTCTCTGGGGACCCGGGTTCAATTCCTGCCCCAGCACCGGCGGGTGTGAGCTCAGATGAAACTGCAAATCCCAGGAGGCAACGTGACCGGGCCTCAGAAAGGCCCCCCTCCCCGGGCATGGAGGCCTCGGAGTCACAGGCAGCGCTTCCCGCGGGGGAGGCCAGGCCGGGCCCATTGCACAGGCCCCCACCCGCAGCCCCCGCACCGCCCAACCCACTGGAAAACCTTTTGCCCCAGATGAATCCCGGTCTTGTTGTCACTGTATCACAAACTTTTTCCAAGGCTGCCATTGGGAACGGGCCAGGCGCGACTGCAACTGAACTGTGTGGGCATAGAAACGACTTGTTGATTCGCGTTCCAAGACAGACTTCCACTGGAGCCGTGTCGGTGGGCACGCATGTGCGTCCCGCGTATTTCTCCAGACACGTCATGAACGTCTGCAGCTACCGTTTGGAAATGCCTTCTGCGATTTTCAAAGGAAGTCGGGACAAAGGGGCCGACTGTCGGGAGGGCTGGGCCCGGTCCGGGGGGGGGGGGGGGGGGGCGCGACGCTGCAGCTACAGCCACGGCAGCTCTGGGTGACGCACCCGACACTCATGATGCCCCTCGAGCAAGGGGCCGAGATTGGAAACCTCAAAAATAGAAACGCTGACCAACAACGGACCAAAATGGGCTGCGAGGGAGAAGGATTCTCTGAGAAAACTCTGGGATCCGGCATCGGTATCTGCGGCCGGATGTGAGTGCGTGAGCAAGACCCGGGTTCGACCCCAGGCCCGCCGAACCTCCAGCCGCCAGCAGACACCTCCCACGGGGCACCCAGCACCTGGTGCGGGTCTCAGCGCACTCCCGCTTGGAGCTGCAGGCCCGGATGGCCGAGTGCCAACAGCCATGGGGCCCCCGAAGAAAGTCTCGCAGTAAGTCGATCAAGTCTTACTTAAAAGGGTTCAACATCTTCATACCATTCCCTGCCCCCCCGCCCCCTCCCTAGTCCCGGACAGCTAGGGTCCCGCTTCCGCCCAAGGGGCACGGGGGGGGTGGGGGGGGCTTCCCAAATCCCCCCACAGCCAGAGTGGTTCCCGGTGCAGCTGAGCCCACGAGTGGTGCCGAGGACCCCCCCACCCCCCACCGGGCACCCGGGAGGGCCTGGGTGAGAGCTGGAGCCCGCGGGGGCGGCCACAGACCCCAGGGCTCCGAGGGGGGCGGCCGGGAGAAGCGCCCGCCTGTCCCCGCAGACAATGACATGTGCCCGCGTCGGGCCGAGGGGCCGCTTATCGCCGCCAGCGGGACAAAAGGCCCATTCTTGGGGCCGCTCCCCAACAATGCCCAGTTCCTCCCGCTCCCCCGTCTGCTGCGGGAACAATTCCGGGCTCTCAGCCCGGAGCAGGGCCCCAGAGCCGCATAAGAGGCACATTCACAGCAGGGGACCCGCGGGCCCAGGACAAGCCCCGGGGGGCTGCCGCGCCCGATCAATAATCCATCATGAGCCAGGACCTTTCCCTCCAGGAAGCGGCGAGCAAGGGGTGGGCCTGCCCCCCCACCCCCATCTACCCTCACAATGGCCTGGCAGGGGGCCCGGACGCACCCCCTCCCCCAGGGAGCCAGACGCACCGTCGGGGGGAGACCAAGGCAGCACCCGACTCGGGGTGAGACGCCAGCGCCCCAGGGAGTCAGAGCAAGGGGTGGCCGCCCCAAGACCCCAGCAGGACCCTGGGCCCAGAGGCCAGGAGCCCCGCAGGCCCCCACAGCAGGCCCATCTAGAAGCTGCTCGGGGTCAGTCCAGAGCCCCGTCGGCCCCGCCCCGTCTCCGGAAAGGCCGCAGAGCAGGTCCGAGAGAGACAGGGCAGGGCTGTCCTCAGGGCCAGGACCCCGGGGTCCGTCGAGTGACAGGGACTTGGAGCCAGGGGCACGGAGACACAAGGCAGAGCACCACCTCTGGGGGTGGGCCGGAGTGTCCCCGTGCGACTGAGCCGGCGTCAGCGGCCACCTCTGGGCTGGCGGACTGGAGCGTCCCCGTCCGAGCAGGCGTCCAAGCCCCCAAGTGCGAGCGGGCAGGTGCAGACCAGCGGCTGTCCCTGGCCCCCAGCACGGCTCTCCCGTCCCCGAGCACCGCAGGTCTTGTCCACTCTCCTGCCCCGCCCCGCCCCACCCACGGGCAGCCTAGCTGCAGACCTGCCCGGCCGGGAGCGGCTGCGCTTGTCAGTGGCTCGAGGGACCCAGCAGCCGTGGGCCTGGCCGCCGGCCCAGCACCGCAGGGACACTGTCCATGTCTATTTTTAAGCCGGGAAACCCACACGGGGGACAATCCCGTTGGAAAGTGGCTCCAAGGTGTTTGCTGAGTCTCAATTCACAAGCGCAACTTGGGACTGTCACCAACTCAGGGTCTCGTGCTGATTTATTTCGCTCCTGAGAAACTATCAGCAGGAACAAGGAAAGAGTCCTGGCCGGCAGCCAGCTTTCGGCCACCGGAACGCGTCCCTGCGCTGCCAGCGTCCAGGGCTGGAGCTCAAGCTGACTGGACTGTGCGTCCACGCAAAGGGATCACCCCCTCCCACACTGGGCCACGCGCGTCCGTCTCGGGGAAGGACACCGGGGGGCGGGGGGGGTGACCGAGACGTCCCCAGCACGCTTCGTGCAGACCAGGGCTGCTGTGGCGTGCAGATCAGGTCGCCCAGGTACAGGCTCGCGGCCGAGAGAATCCAATTCACGCGTTTCTCAGGCGGTCAAGGCTGCGTCAGGAAGGACGGGCCCCGTAAACGCGGACTCCCGGTGCCCAGCCCCCCCGGAGACGAGCTGGGTGAGCTCAGCACAGACCCACCGGGCAGGAAGGGGCCGAGATCGGCCACAGCCTGAAACGAACCTGCACTGACGGTCACCAAGGCCCGGATGAGAGACAAGACTGACCCGCAGGGCAGCGCCCGCCTGACCAGTTCTGACTAGCAGCAGAGGGACCCCGCAAAGCCCCCGCAGGAGCGGCCTCTCCATCACCGCCTCTGGTCAGCGCGTCCACCAGGCAGTGCCCAGGGCCACACGCCCCGGCAGCCCCAGGCAGCACGGCCTCACCTAATCCCCAAACCAGAGACGACGGGCGCGGAGGCCCTCCTGCCTCAGGACAGCAAAGACCCGTCAGAGCCAAGGGACAGTCCTCTCTGGGGCTTCTGACCGCATTTCCCACGTGCCTGTGA